AATTCAAAAGCCTGCTGGTAAGATTTGAGAGCTTGATGGGGGAAACAGGTGCAATTTACGAAACGCAGGAAATGTAAGTTCTGATTCAAGAGAGGTCCCTTGTTTCATTGGGAAATGTAAGTATATTAACTTTGTTAAGTGAACAGAGTAATCTGTAGCATAACATTAAAGAAACATGGGTTAGTCAACAAGCTAATGTATGCACTCCAGCAGAAAGGTTTCACTCATTTAAGAGACGGATAATGTATATGTTGATGGCTTGTTGGAACGATCATAATGCCTAAATCCTATCGATGAATCATCTCAGATTGAAATATACCTATACATTACACCAAACTTGGAAAATTAAGCTAACACTCGTTTGTTAGATAAGCTATATTCTTGTTCCAATATTGGCAATATCCAAGTTTTGCACAATACAAGAAGAACTGGAGCCAAGATTCCCAAAAGTAAGAGGCTGACTTCAGATCATCAGATAACCAACAAACCCAACCCTGTACTCCAAAGAGACGAACTTTTGCACCAAAAATGGAACGGAGGAGGTGGCATTCAGGTACGACACGTTACCTGGAGGTCAGCGAGGGTGGCGCCGACGGCGAGCGCGCGCGAGTGCCCGCCCCCGTCCACGTCGCGGAGGGCGGGGAGCGCCAGCTTCAGCGCGCGGAAGAGCAGGCGCGACGAGGAGGACGTCGCCAGGTCCTCCCCCATCCGCTCCGTGAGCTCGTTGAACGCGCACACCAGCTCCGCCACCAGCCGCCCGCCTCCGTCTGCTGGCAGCGGCGGCAGCGTGGACGACGGGGCGGGCGGGGAAGACGAAGCGGCAGCGGCCGCGGCCGCGGCTGTGGCCGGGAAGCGCAGGCGGTGCAGGCGCGGTGAGCCGCAGCGAGCGCGGGCGCGTCGGTACGGGCGGCCGCCGGCGGGGACGGTGGCGGCGGTGGCGGTCGCCATACCGGCCGACGGCTTGGGGGAGTTGTTACGTGGCGGTAACGTGGGGTGGTTGTTTATTGGGTACCCTTGTTTATCTGGAATCCGGAGAGATGCCAAACTGCCAATTGGCTTGGGCTTTGCCACGTAAGCATTTCCCTCCAAGCTGGTGGATTCCTGACCTCCAGTTGGAAGAGCAGGACTGCAGGAGAAAAAACAATTGAAAAGGCAACTGATTGAAGTTATTGTGGCTACCTGATTTTCGAAGCATGAAATTTGGTTAAATTTTAAAGATTTAATCATAGATTGTGTTGATTGGCTGGAACTTTGTTAGTTGTGTTAACTTGGTTGGGTTAACCATGTATACTGAACTATAAGAGCACCCTCACAATGCGAGTCAGTTGCTTGCTCTAAGACAACCTTTTTAACGATGTTAATTTTTATCTTAGCTCGTGATATAACTAGGCCCACGTGACAACCTCAAATAAATTTGAAATATATGTATAAGACTAGCTCTTCATCAAAGGATAGTTTTTCTCTCTCTTCCATTAAAATATAAAATTAAATATTTAAAGCTAGCTTATAAGTCACTGTGGGAGCTGCCCTCCGAGTAACTTCAACGTATTGTTGAAAGAGATAAGTTAAGGTCGATCATGTTATGTGGTGCTTGCTTAGCTTATATCTTTGACGTGTGTAAACAGGTTAGCATCTTGCTATGGAACTCACATTGCCAACTACATACTCTTCATTCAAAATTCCATCAACTTGCTAGCTCAATTGGTAGGCACTCTTCAGTAAATGAAATAAGTTTTTAATCGTTTGCACCTGTGGGTAAGTTTATTGCGCCTATGCTAAGCTTTGTCCTTTGCACCTCTGCACTCGAAAGTTTGGTAGAGGCTTCTCTCTCCACTTGGCACCGCTTTTGGAATGCACACTAAAGATGCTCGAGTTTTATGTGTTCTAAGGGCAGCTCCAAAGTGTTAAAACACTAGCTCATAGAATATTTTATTCAATAAAAAGATAAAAGGATAAGTTAACTTTTCATGAAGAGTTAAGCTCGTACAATTTTCTATAATTCACGTGTTTATGTTTACACATTTTTTTCGTACTAGCATGTTAGACTACTCCATTTTTATCTTTTTTTAAGCTCATATGAGCTAGCAAGTCAACTCTAATATTCACTGACGAAACCAGGAAAAAAATTAGGAGGGGCTGAACAAAAGAATAAAGGCTTTTTTTTGTTCTCTTAACCTTAGCCCCTCCTACTTAATACATGTATGCATAAAAATTTAAGGGATGACTTAGGGGAACTCCATATACTCAGGATCGGTAGGGGGGCTGAAACCCCCCTAGCCCCACCGCTGGCTTCGTCATTGCTAATATTGAAGGTGTCCTAAGCATGGATGCAATATGGTGGAGCATAGAGTGCTAGGAACACCACCTTGATAGTGGTGCTTGATTGATTGATTTTGCAACAACAAAGAAAATAATATTTCTTGCGTTTTTCTCTCTCCCCTTGAAATTCTTTTTTCTTAACCGTACCACTGATGTACGTATTTCATTAAGAGAGGTAGAGTTTAAAACATTATAAGGACACGTAATTAATCCTAGGATTACCACAGCAGTCCCAAAAGACACTGGGCAGCAAAAGAAAGTGTATATCACCCGAAGTCCTTTAGCGCTACAATAATTTTTTTAAGCTATATACCGATACTCAAGTCCCGAAATGGGGCATCCTAGCGTGTTCGGTGTTCCTTGCACCAACTTGAAGTTGGAAGCCATGTATATTAATGTATACGTGATTACGTGTTATCCATATTATTTGTTTGTTACAAAAGGAGACACATTTCCTTCATGTTTGTCGCTTTTCCCCAAGGCCTTGTGAAAATTTGTGAAAATGTAGTGTTCCAAAGAACCTGGTAAAAGCTGATAATCATGAGCAACGATCTGGATGGTCAACTTTTAACTTTGTATACATGTCCGCATGATGAACTTTGTACAGCACATGACACGGGCTAATCAGCGCATCAAATTGTGATTTGTATAGGATTTACATTTTGAATTAACATCCCAATTCATGGCATAGATTAGCGGGTTCATACTTCATAGATTAGTGGGTTCATACTTCATACTCCAATACATGGTATGCTGATTTCACACTAAATACTTCCTTCTTGACAAAGTGCCAGGCGATCACATCTTCCTGCCCCGGTTGAATTGGAATCGCCAAAATCTTTACAGCATCCTCCTCCCAGAAAACATCTCGTATTAGCTGTTCAAATTGGACATCTTTACAGTAATCCTTCAATCCCACAGCCTGACCTAACCTACAATATATTCTTGCTCAATTCTGATCCTTGCCGGACGGCGGGACCTTACAATAGGTGGTGCAGAAACCACACGTCCACATAACACACCAGAGCGAAAAAGAAGTTTTTGGCCCGGCGAGGCTCCTCGTCGAGTCTCGGTTGCCACGTCACTGATAAGATCGACTACCTATTACCTAGTGGTTTCGAGTTCGACCGTTGCGAGACGACGGCCTTTGGGCTGGGGCGGAACATCGGCGTTCTTCCTTCTGAACGCACTAATCAATGCCATGAATTGTTGTGTCGATTCGAAATGTAAATCCTATACAGATCAAACATTTTGATGCGCTACGATCAGCCCGTGTCATGTGCTGTGCAAAGCTGATCATGTAGTTAAAAGTTGATCATCCAGAGCGTTGCTCACGATTATCAGCTTTTACCACGTTCTTTGAAACAGCACATTTTAACAAAATTTCACAAGGCCTTTGGGAAATTTGGCACAGTTGAACAAGAACGCCGTCCTCACCGTCACTCAAAGCCACCACAGACTACAACGCACAAGACGACCAAACAGAAGACCATGTTCGCTTGGCTAAGTCATACTTTTCAGCCAATAAAAATATTTTTCTCTCACAATAAATCAACCTACAGTACTTTCAGCTATGGCTTATCAGCCAAACAAACAAGGCATCAAAAGCCAAAATCTGCCAGTAACCCCGTTCCAAATCAAATGGCATTTGCAAAAACAAGTGATTTGAATACATGGATCGCAAACTGTGCATAAGATCCAAGGGAAACTATATACACCCTGTTCGCTGTTTGGTACTGATGCTGGTTTAGGCTGGTGCTGATTTTTTATGAGACTAGAGGAAAACACTATTAGCTGGTTGGCTGAAACTAACCAGCGATCAGGGTAATATACGAGTGACAATAGAACTTGTCCGGGATATGCAGCCTAACTTACAGATGGAAAAACAAATCCAATGGTATCAAATACACCAGCCTTTGCCTGCTGGTTGCTAACCAATCATGCCAAAGTTATAGACATTATGGAGTAATAATCCAAAAGGGACCAATTTAATCACATTGAGAGGATTCACAATTCACAGAAGGTACAGAGAAAACAAGGTAAAACAATGACTGCAAATTCAGTAAATCAGTGACTTAAGACTCCTTGAGGGATCTCAACTCCACTGAACTTGAAATGCTCAAAATTGGCAGAAATGTTAGGTTTGGTCAAGTCTTCTTGAGCACATGACTCAATTCAGTACCACATGCTGATTCAGTTCATGAGAACAGCACACCAATAATATCAATAATGACCATACCCTGCAATTCAACAGCCTACTTGAACAGTCACATGTGGATAGTATGAAGCACTTTTTGCATCTTGCGCTGGCTACGAGAACAAAATTGCACGCATTGAACCATTACTCTCGCAAAACATGGTATAAACAGGCTAAAGAACGCAACAACACACTGTAAAAAGAGTTGCAGCCATCGACATCCCAGGACCCAACCCCAACAATCTTTCTGACCTAAAAAGAATTGTACTACAAACAATGACTTATCAATATGGCAGAACTGTAATTTATTTATACTCAGTGTGACTTGTCAAAACAAGCAATCCATTCTATCTATGACTGCTGCACAATCACAAAATAATGAACCAGCAATACAGCCAAAGCAAACAAAACATTATTAGGTGGAGTACTGAGATCACAATTAAAAAATAATACTTGTCATTAGCAAAAATATGAACCAGCAATAACAGCTGAGAACAATCACAAGTTGACAATACTACAGGCAAAGCAAACAAAACATTAGTCAGTGGAGTACTGAGATCACGATAAAAAAATAATACTTGTCATTAGCAAAAATATGAACACAGCTGAGAACAATCGGAAGTTGACAACACTACAGGCAAAGCCGCAAAGCAAGCAATTCTGCCAACTCAAACAATGCGTTCTTAAGTCATTAATAAAACCACAACAAAATGGTACAAATCCTTAGCACAAACAATTATATCAACAAGTAATTAGCATACACACAATTATGGTTAAATAGTAGCCATCTCAAGACATTAGTGGCAATCAAAATAATCAAGCAAACTGCAAACATATAACATTTCCCTTGCCAGTTGCCACCCCAGGGCTAATCAAGCTATAGCAATAGCTAAGGAAGGCAATTAATCAATTATGCAATACTACTATAATCGACCTACGTATGATGAATGATAGTGAAACGGACAAATGGTGAAACCGTCGATAAGGATAGAATACGAAAACAAAATTAAACTCAGCATCACATCAACTCAGTAACAGGGGTACCAATATGATAGATACAACTGCTCCATTTAAGTTTCAGACAGATCTAAATGAGATTCAATTCGAGTAACCAACAGGTGAATGCTTGATAGGTAGGCGGGTAAAGCAAATTGGCGCAAGCGATTACGCCTTCTGGTTGTAGACATAGGTGAGGCCGCACTTGCCGCAGTAGTGGCGGTCGAAGTGGTTGGCCATGAAGACGCCCGCGCCGCACTCGGTGTTGGGGCACTCCTTGCGGAGGCGGGTGACCTTGCCGGTGGCGTCGTCCACCTTGTAGAACTGGAGCACGGCGAGCTTCACCTTCTTGTGCTTGTGCTTGATCTTCTTGGGCTTGGTGTACGTCTTCTTCTTGCGCTTCTTGGCGCCACCGCGGAGGCGGAGCACCAGGTGC